ACGGGTCCACCCGGCCACGGTTCCGCTGGCCCACGGTTCCACCAGCCCACGGTTCCACCCGGCCCACAGTTCTGCTCTGCACATGCCTAACTGCCCACAAGATCAGATGGCACGACTCCTCTCTAAAACACGTCCAAACCTTGACTCCTCCGTGTGGCGCTTCGATAGGGTTTGCAGTTTGGGGAAAACTTGGGGTTGGGATACAGATCAGGTGGCTTCAAGGTGCAGGCTAACCCCGGGGCTATTAACGTTCCACCTGGAGACGAGGCAGGAGGTCACGGGTCTGTGTATTCGGTCATCTTCCCGGGGCCCAGAGTCAGGACTGGGCACTGTCTCCGTGCGAGTCCGCGGCTCCCGGCCGCTCGTGCGCCTGTGCCCTGTGATCAATGTGTCCGTTTCTGTTCCGCGTGGGTTTCTGGTTCCGAGGAGGCCGTGGGCCGCTCACAGCTGCTGCTCAGGCAGAACCTGCACAGGTGGCCGCCCTGCTGGCCTGCGGGAGGCCTGCCAATGAGGGCGTCGCTGGGCAGGAGCTGGTCAGACCCGTCTCCCGGCATTTCCAGACGTGAGGATGGAGGCTCTCACCCGACCCAGTTTCCTGAGAGACGGCCTGGCCGGGGGGTGAGCCCTGGCTCGTCCAGGCAGAGGTGGGCACCCGCCTCCAGGCCACGCCCTCCTGGGCCCCTGACGCTCAGAGAGGGCGTGACCGGGCTCAGCTCACCTGCGGGCAGGTGCCAGGGCTCTTTACCTGGCTCTTCAGGGCAGCAGGTCACTCACGGCCCCTCTGACCGGGCGGGGACGGTCCCAGAGCAGACCCAGGAGGCAGCAGGTCAGAGGGGTGCCAGCCAGGCCCCGAACAGGGTCACCTTCCCAGCGAAGGTCCCCATGGCTCTGTCCGCTGGACTGTATTGCGGAGTCCAGGCCACCAGCCCCTCCTCACCACCCAGAGTGACCTCAAGCCCGGGCCAGGCTGCCAGGGGCTGTGGGCCCCTCAGCCATTGGTTGGCAGGACCTGGTGACCCAAAGCCAAAGAGAAGCCAGGAAAGGGACAAAGAGGGTGAGGCGGGCACAGGCTGGAAGGGGTTCAGACAGCAGAGGGTGGAAAGGCAGCAGGCAACTGGGGAAGGAGGCAGGACACTCAGGGGAGGGGGCGGATGTAAGCTTCAGGAGGAGGACACTGGGCTGCAGAGGGAAAGAACAGGTGGACATTAGAAGGGCTTCCTCCTCTGCAAATGCAGCTTTTGTAAAGCATATTCACCATTTCCACTTATGACCCAAAACATAACTCTAAGCTCTGAAACTAAACCATAAGCCTAAACCTAACCATACCCTAGACCTAAAACGAGCCCTAGCCGGAACCCTAACCCTAGCCCTAACCCTAACCCTAACCCTAGCCCTAACCCTAGCCCTAGCCCTGTGCAGTGTCCTGGGTGCAGTCGGGGTAACACTTACCCTCTAGGTTGAAGACGGGGACCTCCTGCAGCTGGAACTCCTTCACGTACCCCAGGTACCTCCGCAGCCACTGGGGGTCCCCGGGCAAGCGTCTGGCTGCAATCAGAGGGGCTGGTGGTAAGGGGCCGAGAACCCAGAACCTATGCTCAGATTTGGCCCCTCCCCCCGGCTCCTGGCCAGGCCTGAGCTGATGCCTGCCGGCCAGGTCGGCACCCTGGGCACGGCCCTCGTCCACACAGGCTGTGCTCCAGGGGCAGAGGGGGCTCCCCACTCCTGGGAGCCAGGATCTACCCCCTGAGGCGAGGCCAGCCAGAGGGTCCCCACTGCACTCAGGGCGCTCCCTGTGACCTGGTGCCCACCCCCACCCCGCTGACCCCTCCCGGCCTGCGGGACCCTGGTGATGTGGCCCCCACCCTGGGCTCCCTGGGCCATCTCAGACGCCGGGCCACTCCCTCACCTCCGTCTAGTGTCCCCCCCACACCCCCAGGAGGCTTCTCCCATCTGTCCACGGAGACTCCAGCTCCAGGACACGCCCCACAGGCAGCACAGCACGGAGGCGATGAGATGCGGTGGGTGTGTGAGTGTGAGGTGGACCGATGGGCCTGGGGTGAGGGTGTGTGCTGAGCGGCCCAGGCTGGCGCCCGCACCCCAGAGCAACAGGCACCAAACACAGGTCTTGGGCAGATGTGGGGGGGGCATCCAGCATTGGGGGAGACACCACCTACCCAGCAGCGCCCACAGGCTGGTGACCTCGCCCCCATTCCCGCCGTCCCCGCCCTCCTCAACGCGGACGTAGAGAATGAGGCTGCTGTAGTCGGTGCTGACGAAGCGGACGTGCATGCGGGCTCCTCCCTCAACTGCGGGGACAGACCCAGCCGGTGACAGGGGCCTGTCTCCATCCCCGCGCCCGGCCCTGCCCGTGGGCCGCCGTGGACATGGGCAGGAGCT